AGTATACACGAAATCTCCATTTCGGGTATACAAGTCATAGGCGGTCTCTAGCAAGACACTATGACTACCTATCTCGAATAGAGTTTGTTCGTGATCTTACGAACGTCAGTGATGATTCTGGTTGATGATCCTTTTGTATCACGATATCATATGTCGAACATAAGGCATGGAAAAACCACCTTATCTGATTCGACTGCTTTCTCGTTTGCAGAGTTCTACTGTACGAAATAGACAACGCTCGTCTATAATGTGACCACACATTTCTACAATCTCGCTCACACGAGGGGCCCAGCGATATCTCTCTCTTTTACAAGAGGTACAAATTCCATCTTGACTATCTATAATCCAGCACATGATTCGTGTCGTACCTGATACACGCCTTTATAGTCCTCCTGTTACGTAGGACGTTTGACGTATTCAAAGTATGCAACTCCTCATGTTGGATTCCGTAGACATCTCAGGTCATATGATCCAATCATGGAACCGTCACATGAGATTGAAGTCATGACGCTTGTCCATATGACAATCTCATGCGGGTCATTCCAGTATTCCATTCTCCAACGAATACCTATGATTGTTATCGTATCCAATACCTATGATCATCTTTATGATCATCTATCACACATCATACTAGTCTTAGTACATCATTGTTCCCACAATGACATATGACTAGGGAGTTTAGTATTGTTCATAACAATACATGGATTTCATAACATATTTAAAGTATGCACAATACGTAATGAATCAAACACTCATCCATATAGCCATAGTAAGTGTAAATACATCAAATGTATCATAATAAAGCTCATACAACAGTACATCATAGAGCACTAAGCCAACACGATTTTCGTATCGCCTCTAAAGCTTCAAGGTTATTGGAACACGGTAAACTCTCAGGATACAACGACCGCGTATTCTGGAGAAACTTTCCAGAATACCACGCGAACTCAGAGAGAGATATAATCAGATATGTGAATGCTCAATGCTTTGTTTTCTTGTGGTGTTGTGTGTAAAATGATCTAACCAATACCTCTATTTTATATTAGTGGAGGGAGCATGTCACATTAATATGTAGAATCAATTAGATTCCAATTTGATATTATTTTGATTGATATTTAACATAATCAATGGATTTTTTGTATATTTTATTACGATTTGATTTAGTGATCAATCAAGAATATTCTCTCATTAATCTGCAACTTTTCCATCAAAATTTCTAGAACCTTCCATGGACCGGACTTCTCACGGATTAGACCTGTTTTGATTCTATTAAATAAACTCAAATCCAACCAAAGATTGTACAGAAGTACAAATAAGCTTTCCCCCTTATTCCCAACACATAATTAATTAGGTCAAACTCTCCATTTCTCTAACTTCCACATGAATTACCATTTTGAATGGAAGCAATTTAGACGCTCTAGTTGATGGCATGATTAATGGTATTCCTAGATCCCACAGGACCAGACGTGTAATTACTGTATGTTGGTATCTTCTTTAATTTGCACAAACTTGTCAAACGATTACCTACCAAGCCTAGAGGACCAATGAATGTGGTCTTTAAGGAAATAGCTGCTGTATGTCCGCCCCCTCTATGGCTCAGTTTCATTGTGTTTGGTTTATTGATGAAACCCCATGTATAAATGATGAAAATCAGCTCATCATATATCCATGGGATTGTCAATTTGGCTAATTTCATTTCACGTAAAATGTTTTGAAAAACCAAGGAGAAACAGGGTTGGGGATAAATGTTATGAACCTCTTGATAGATAGAGAGATGGGCAACATTGAACGTAGAATATGCAATGTTGCTTATGATTCAGATAAAATAGTTTTGTACTGTTATTACTGATGTTTACGTTACCCAATTCCCTCACACAAAATTTATTTGGGTTTAATAATTTATTGGTTTAAATTGGATTTAACCCAATATAATAATTAAATGGGTTGGGTCAATCCATAAAATTCATTTCAATCCAATAAACTCATTTAATCACTTTAATACTGCAAACCTATCCTAAAAATTATCGATTAAATTATTATCTTAAAGATTCAGATTTTTTTTTTTAATTTTAAAATATTGAACAAATAATTTCATATACACAATTTAATATTATAAAATTATAAATTTTAACTATGCCGAAAATTATCTAAAAATATATATATATACATTCAATTAAATTACACAATATCAATATCCACAAAATTTAAAATAAATAATAGTTTTGAATGCCTTAAATATTCTCAATTCTTGTGTGAACATAAAGGACTGTTATTTTAAAACTGAAATTAGGGTGTCTAACATCTATCTGATGAAATTAGGAGTTGTCAATGTTAAAGAAAAAGAGAAGAAGTCGGAAACCGGTGTGCTGTTCTTCCTCCGGTCTCTCCAATTACGGCATCTTATTGATGTCTGGATTCCATATGATTTATATCCTTTTGTTCAATTCTATGCCATAATTTCCTTTCTTAATACCTCTTTATACTTCGGGGGAAAATAATAAGCGCATTGACTGCATTTAATAAAATGCCGAAAATGGCGAATTTCCTAGGAAATATCAACTGCTCTGCCAGTATAAAACTTGGATGGGCCAATGCGTTTTCCAATTGTTTTGATACGCATCATGTGGCCCTCGCATGAGATTCCCGCTTTCCCCCTTTCCTACTCGATGGCGAGATATGATTGGGACAACAAGGTTTGAAATCTCGTCTCTTCATAGATTATGGCATTCCCTATTTGTCTGAATGTTCTACGATCATTGCCATTGCATTTGTTTTTGCTTTGGCTAGTCATTGTCGATTCGTAATTTTGAGGGATTGTGTTTAAAGTCATCTTTCTGTTGTTTTTATTTAAAGATGGTATGCGTCGAAGAAGACGATCTTGCTGGTTTAGAAGATGCGAGCTCTGATGCAGAGGATGAAAGTTATGAAGTTGGATTGACTGATGATGAAACACCTTATAGAGGAAGAGCCTGTGGTATTGATAATTTTCTCTGATTTTTTTTTCAACGATAACATTAGTGGGTTTCAAAAGATTTAACCCAAAATCGAAATGAATGGAAAAACAAAGTTTATGCGGCCAATACCAAATAAACTTGGTATCAAGGCAATGTTGACGTTGATGGTGCAGAGGACATTGGTGGATTTGTGGAGTGTGCCCAATTAATGTGAAAAGTCTTTTTGGTGTAGGAAATTCCGAACCAACTCCTTTGATGGAAGGTGAAGGCAGATCTTTCAGGGTGCTGGGTTTTAACCGAACTCAAAGGGCCATTTTCGTTAAGACGATGATGAGGTTGTTTTTTTACATGTCTGGTCTTTTCGGCAAAACAACTTGTTCCATTCAATTTGTGGAGTGTGCCCAATTAATGTGAAAAGTCTTTTTGGTGTAGGAAATTCCGAACCAACTCCTTTGATGGAAGGTGAAGGCAGATCTTTCAGGGTGCTGGGTTTTAACCGAACTCAAAGGGCCATTTTCGTTAAGACGATGATGAGGTTGTTTTTTTACATGTCTGGTCTTTTCGGCAAAACAACTTGTTCCATTCAATTCGACATCATTGTTTGTTTTCTATGCATCAAACTGTCCTCAATCTGCAACCAAAAAAAAAAAATTCATGTAACATATTTTCACATGTTCATGTCTGTCACTGCTGATGGTTTTGCAGGTATGGGGTTGGTAACTTGGATTGGAAGGAGTTTGTTCCTCGCTTAAAGCAGAAGACATATGAGGAGATAAAAGAGTATATGATTTAGCCCCATTTGGTTCTTTCTTCAGCTTCTGTAACAATCAACATCACTGTGGGTTGTCATTTCTTATATTTTTTTTGGAAGACCAGTAATTTTGGACCAAACCTTTTATTGGTTTCTCAGATATGGCGGGCTCTTCTTGAAGCATATCGTTGACGAAATTGATGAGAGTTCTCCAACGTTTTCAGGTGATTGGTAACTAGATCTTGTCATCATTTGTTTCCTACTGTTTTCTCTAAAACCGGCATTGGTTCTCCCGTTGCTTATAGGGTGTCAATCGGGTCGGATCGCACCAGGTCGACCTGAGTCCGCACTCGACTAGGGTTTTGGACTCGGACTCGGGCCGGTTTTATTTTTTGGACTTATATAACTAAGTCCAAAGCCCGATCGTATAAGTTTCGAGCTCGGATCGGGTCGGGCCGACCCAACCAATAACTTAGTAATTTTATTTTTTTCTTTTTTCAATTAATTTTTTTGAAAAAAAAATATCAGAATTTCGAACCGGTTCGAATCCGGCCCGAAGTCTTAATTGAGTCCGGCCCGAAAACCCGATTTTTTTGGTAGAAAAACTTAGGCTCGAAACCCAATATTTTTCGGGTGGATTCATATCGGGTTTGGAGCCTGGTACCTAAATTAACACCCATAGTTGCTTACATCAATTATTATTATTATTATTATTATTATTATTATTATTATTATTATTATTATTATTATTTTATAGATGGGGTTCCTAAAGAAGGACTCAGAATTGAAGGTGTGCTTGTAAGAATCGCTATTCTGGCTCTCGTACAGGAGAAGGTAAGTCCTTTGATTGAAATCCTTTAATACCCATTCTTGCTTGTTTTGCTCAATTGTAACGAAGTTTCTATTGGGATGAGGATCTCAAGTTCGAAACCGATTCGAAATCACATATTTAGAAGGCATTTTTTTAAAGCATTCCCATAAGGGTGACTTGTTTGGTTAATAACCAACCAAATCAATACGAACCGAATAATATATAACAGTAACCAAATCGAATTAAATATAAAACCAAATCGACAAACCGAACCAAATAAAAAATAACTAGAAAACCGTAATTTTTTTAAGAAAATGAGTATTTTCATGATAATCGAACAGAATCCGAATCTAACCGAATATAATTAGACCGAAACAAACCGAATCCAATATAGAAACCGAACGGTTATAATTTTTCGAAATCCGAAATAACCGAATCCGAAATAACTGAACCAAAATCGGATTAAGCCACCCCTAAGCAAAGAGAGCTTCATTTTCGGTGCTTTTGTTTCTTCCTAAGCTTATTGCCTAACAATTTCTATTCTGTATTGATCACACTCTTTGTTTGAGCTCAAATTATTTGACGTGACAGGTGGCATTTACGGAAGAACATCCAACAAAACCAATTTTTTCCGCCCGCGTTCTCAACCAATACCCGATGTTGAGAATACCCGGAAAAGCCTGGAGGCAAGAACACGACAAGATCATGTTCCGTGCTGTTTTAAAGTATGAGATTTTTTATTACTAGATGAGATTTCTTCTCTCTCAACACTCTCAGTTGATATTTTTTTCACCAAATATTTTTTTTCACGAAACCTTTAGGCATGGTTATGGAAGATGGCAAGCTATTGTCGATGATAAAGAGTTGGGGATTCGACAACTTATCTGCAAAGAACTGAACTTATCTGCAAACAACACTTGTGGAGGCCATGGAAGCTCGATGATGATCCACAGAGACATGCAGATAAGACTGGTCGAGTTTGTGAAGAAACGGGTGGTGCTCCTCGAAAAGGCGTTGAATTTGGAATATGCAGAAGAGTATTATGTATGTATATACTGACCCTTTGTTTTTTAACATGTCCGAAGTGAGATTTGTCCTAATCTCTGAATGGAGAATGCCCCTGGATAATCTAAATCTCTATCAAATATTTCGATTTCAGGGAATCGTTCCACCGTCAATCTGTATGTGTTCATACTTCTCTAAATTTAATCAATGTGTTAGAAGTTATGTCTTGTATGGTTCAGTTTTCTAACTGAGAGCTCTTGATGTGAATCTCAGCAGCTGTTGTTGACAGAAACCCACCTTTGAACGAGGTAAGCCCACCTTTTTCTTTAGTGGTTTTGCAAATCTATATTCGTTGTATCAATCAAAGATCTAAATTTACATTCATATATTTGAATCGTCTTTACTCAGCTGTGGAAAACTGTCGATGAGAACAATCGTGAATCTGTCGAGACATTTATGAATAATGAACCAGTGGGAGGCAATGTAAGAAAGACCTTCCGGGATCTGGAATCTTTCAATACGGACATAAACAAGATCGTATCTGCACCATCTGATGTGGCAACTGCTGATGAAAGAACATATGATGTTGAGTTGAAGGAATTGGTTGGGAAAAGCAATATTCCTGGTCTTGTTGATCTGAACTTGTCGGAAAATATTGTAGAAGAGAATGTTGCCGGAAGAACTAGTGGGGATGTTGATGAGAAAATGAAAGAAGATGGCCATAAATCCAAAGATGGAGAAAGAGTTGACATTGTGCTTGATTAAGATAACAACAACAACAACAACAACAACAAATGGATAAAAGATTATGAAGTATCAACAGAATCAAAACATTGGGTGGTGATTAGTCTTTTAAATTGTTTTCATTACCGTTTTACATTATGCTGAATTTGGATTTTTCAATTTTACTATCATGCATACATGGCTTATCATTTGGTTTTAATATATATTGGTTTGATTTATGTTATAATATTTGTTGGTAATATTACTTTATACGTCTTATATTTTGTTTATGATAAATTTTTCAATTTTATACCGAAATTTCAACTTCAATAACTTTCAAAATATATAACTATATCATACGAACTGTATAACATTAGAAAGATAATTTCAATGTCTACGAAACGACAGTAAGAACGTGCAATTTTGTTTACAAAAAGTGAAATTAAGAATAAAAAACTTAAATTTGAACCCATGACAAATCGTGTCTCCTTAAGAAAACTTAAATTTAATGTTACCTCGCAATATTTTACCAGAACATTGGTACTTCAAACTCTAATGTCTCATCGAATTCAAAGCTCGGCTTGAATCACAAATAAATTAGAAAGTTCTTGTTTTGATTTGTGTATTTTGAAAATGAAAACAATACCTCTAATTGTTGGTTTAGGTGCTCAACGTTGCTTTACGATATGAGTACCATGACATTTTGTATTGATCGTTCATGATTTTGGTTAAGTGAATGAATGTCTTTTTCTTTATTCGTTTTGCATATTTGATGAATAAAGAAATCAATGGTTCGTTGTGAACGATCCTAAACTACATAGTCATATATTGTTGTGGGAATGATAATATATTAAGACTAGCATGAGGTGTGATAGATGATTATACAGATAATCATGGATCACAGCCATGGTACTAATTTAGAATGAAGTACTGGATGACCCGCATGAGATTGTCACATGGACACGAGTCATGACTTGAATCTCATGTGATAGATTCATGATTAGATCCTCTGACCTGAGATGTCTACGGTATCCGACATGAGGAGTGTCGTACTTTGATTGCGTCAAACGTCTTGCGTAATAGAAAGATTATAACGTCTCTTGAGTACGACACGAATCATGTCACGAATAGTAGATAGTCAATATGGAATTTGTACCTCTCATACCGAGAGAGATATTGTTTGGGTACCTCGAGTGAGGTGAGACTGAGATGCGCACAATCTGATGATAAGTTATCTGATGTTTCAGTTAACTCAACAAACGAGAAAAGCAGTCGAATCTGATAAGATGGCTGACTCCATGTCTTATGTTCGACATATGGTATCGCGTTACAAAGGGATCATTATATGGACTATTACCGGCTTTCGTTAGATCACGAAACTAACTCTATAATGTCTTGCTAGAGACCGCCTATGACTTGTATTAACGGAATAGAGATTTCGTATCTTACTGCTATTCCGGATGAGCCTAAAAGATCACACACACAGAGAAGGACAAGTGTGCGAGAAAGAGACGAGAATCCCCGAGTCACCAGAGTCTAGACCGACCAGTCCACAGGGCTGGACCGACTGGTCCAGACTTGGCAGACCGAAAGGTCCAAACCCTTGGACCGGACGGTCCAACCTCCGAGACAAACGTTGCGTTCGAACGAAAATTTAACCTAGACCGACCGGTCCAGAACCTAGACTAATCGGTTCATGCGTCGGGCACTCCTCCTACTCAAACTAGTATTTCTTGGAACTAAAATAAAAGGGACATGATCCCTAGGGTTTTGGCACGCTTTCTCAGACTTTTAGACCAGATCTAAGAGTCCCAAAACCCTCTTTTTAATTCCCTGAAACCCTGCGCATTATAAAGATCAAGATTTCTATTTTTAGCAGACGAGTTTCAATCGTTGGAATCCTTCCCGACCTGTGGATACGTGTTGAGGGCTTGGTATTCTTCCTGCCTTCTTGTGATCGACGATTCAGCTGTGTTTACAGGCCTGGATCATTTGAAGTTAGTGTTTCTTCTATAGATCTACAATCATGCATGTTCGGTTTTAGGGCTTTGTTTAGAAAAAATTTTGTTTTTCACCTTCCGCTGCATGAACCTTAGAACCGGATCTTTAGGATTATGAATTGTTAGCGAGAGAGCGACACATGTCCTCCTTAAGAATATAAAAAATCTCTTTATACATTGTGACAGTCCAGGATACCGTAGGAGGACGGGACGTGATCGCCGGTGCGGGAGGCATGGACAATGGGCGGCTCCTGACGAGCTTCTGGGTATGGGGTACAGAGATGAATCGGACGCACCAGAATGAGAGGGATCCGAGGGCTGTGTAGGTATGGGACTACACAGTCTAAGTTAACTTAAAAGAATTAATTGAGCTACTCATAGCAACAAGATGCATCTACCTTTTCGGTTGCCCATCTCGAGACAACTCCAAAGTTAAGTGTGCTGGCCTTGGAGTAGTCTTAGGATGGGTGACCTCCTGGGAAGTACTTTCCGGGATGTGTGCGGGTGAGGACAAAACATGCTAAAAGGTCTCGTGTTGGTGTGTGGTGACAGTTCTATCATTCCGTAGCAGCCTCGGGTCGTTACAAATGGTATCAAAGCCGGTTCTCTCCTAGTACGGTGTGGTCTGAGGAGAACCAGACGGAAGGTGGTGGGCCTGGGACAGCCCAGGATACCGTATGAGGGCGGGGAGTGATCGCCGGTGCGAGAGGCATGGACAATGGGCGGCTCCTGACGAGCTTCTAGGTAGGGGATACAAGGATGAATCGGACGCACCAGAATGAGATGGATCCGAGGGCTGTGTAGGTATGAGACTACACAGTCTAAGATAACTTAAAGGATTTAATTGAGCTACTCATAGTAACAAGATGCATCTACCTTTTCGGTTGCCCATCTCGAGAGAACTCCAAAGTTAAGCGTGCTGGCCTTGGAGTAGTCTTAGGATGGGTGATCTCATGGGAAGTACTTTCCGGGATGTGTGCGAGTGAGGACAAAACATGCTAAAAGGTCTCGTGTTGGTATGTGGGGACAGTTTTATCATTCCGTATCCGCCTCGGTTCGTTACATACATGAAATATTCTCTACCTCCAATTCGTATAATTTTCATTAAATAAGATGAGTAATCACAACTAAAAAATAGGAGACGATTGTTCATCTCCTCAACTATTTCTTTAATTTTCCTAATTTTTATTATTATATTTATAATACTAGATTTTAACCCGTGCGTATCTCGCGGTCTATATATCTATAATTTTTTAAAACTAAATATATTATATTTTATTTTTCGATTTTTAATTTATATCTTAAATAAAATGATAAATAGTTTTTAAAAATATTGAAATAATGATATCGTTTATTTTTAAAAAATAATTATGAATAACATCTATATTTATATTTTGTGTTATAATATAAAATTAAAGTATAAAACCCAATTTGGGTAGCTTAACCGGTAAAATAGAGATGCAAAGTATCTGTTCCGCCCTGAATTCGAGTCTCAAATTGAGGAGGATAGTACATATTCTAATCACATACTTTGCTCCCAGTTCCGAAATTAGTCTGAGTTTTGACTCAAAACAGCCGGTTATGCAAAAAAAATTAAGGGTTGGAATAGTATATTTAGAAAGAATTTTTTTTTTAAAAAAAAACTGAACTATTAATTTTTTTTAACGCTAAAAAGAAGAATAAAAAAGGTTTTATATTGTTAAATCAAAATGATATTATTTTTAAAGTGTTAAGATAATATGTCTGTGTTCTTGTAACCTTTCTATAATACAAAAAAAATCCAATGTTACTTAATTTTATAGTTCACCAAATGTCGCCGTTATAAATTAATCAACTCATCTAATGCCCGCAAATAAAAAAGTTTAGTGTTTTTTGTTAAAATTTGAAAGTTGAGTGTTTTTTTGGAGATTTTTTCTTAAATAAATTTGGTTTCATTTAGTTAGATCTTTTCATTTAATTCAACATGTATTTTATTTAAAAAAAATATTTTTTATCATTCCAATTTATTTTATCTGGTCTTTTATTACCCGTCTCAAATTCTTCGATTATGCAATACCATAGTTGACTTATGATTGGAATATGGAATATCACAGTAATGTTGTAATAAGTTAGTGACATATATACATTTTTATTTTTTTTGTACGAATATAATTGTGTCACCCTAAATTTATCTATGAAGTAATTTTGATTTTATCTTGTGTAATAACTAAATATGTGTGGTCTTATAACATTAATTTTCTTAAATTTTGATATAATTAAAATTAAATTTTTTTAGAATTCTTTTCAAATATATTTTTTAAAAAATAAATAAAGATAAAACATGTATTAGTTTCTTTTTAAAAATATCATATAGTTTTGAAACAAATGAATTTGGATACTTACAATAATGTTACAATAATATTACGATGTGAAAACTGTTTTTGAGCTGATGATTCGAGAGTGAGAGTTTTACAATAATGTTAATCGGAAGCAAAATAATTCAAATACTTATGAAATTGAGCTACTTGTTAAAACGTTAATTTTGTTATATATAACTCTCACAAATTCTGTAAGTATCCTCCATGAGACACAAATATTTCTAGTGAGAGAAGAAGAGAAGGTGAAGCTTAATTAGGATTTAAAAAAAAAGGTCTTGAGATCCTTAATTGCTCTGCATGTATAATCATCATCATCGTAGTCACCATCATCAAACTTGCATACCAAACACATACATACACAAAGAACACATAACTAATTAGTTCTTATATCGCAGTAATCATCTTATTATGTTTCTTATCTCCAATTTGATTCTAATTCTCTTATCACGCTTCTTTTTCGAAACACGCCCGTTTTTTTTTTTTTTGAGTGTTTCTTTTAGAAAGCGATTTTAGCTATATGCTACAAATTAATCTTGTAAGTTGTAACAGTAGTTATGTTGTAACTTTGTATGCAAGGTTTTGTATGGTTCTACAAAATACATATAATAACTATAGCATTACATATGGTTTTGTTGGTCGTGACTCACTTGCCAAAAATGGTCTAGTTTGTTGCTTAAATAGATACAAAATAGTTAATCTCTCATTAAGTTTCATTGATTTTGGGCCATAAATTAATTTGGAAGAGAACCGCAATATTTTCTTGGTTATGTAAAAAAAATATGTGACACCCGAAACCCGTATCCCCCAATACGAGTTGCGTCACATGGGCAATTAAAATAAAACCCAATTTCCAAAAATCCGCGGAAATTTAAAACTTTTATTTTCAGAGTTAGCGGAAGAAAACATTCATACATACACATATGACACATTATTCCGTAGTTAATTATACATAACAAGTGGTAGCGAATTCATTATCACAAACCGTAAAAATCTACCACTGGGATATATCAAAACCGCTCCCTAGAAACGTAAATGTACCATAATAAATAATTATACATGATCAATCGACAAGTCCCCAAGTCTCTGATGTCCACTCCGCGACTATTGTTGCTCACGACCTGAAACGTTGCGTAACAACGTCCTAAGCTAATTGCTTAGAGAGTGAACTCGGACGTAACCCGGAGTTCTATTCTTGCGTAGGTAATGTACTCCCCATGTGCATAGCACAACCACCTCTCTCCTCAGAATCCATCTACTCCGCAACCAGTTGGATCCGACATAAATATATTTTTCTCTGCCCGAACACATCACCCCACCCTAGCATCGATGTCACCTCTCGATACTAGGCCTGTCACCTCACTCCGGCATTGATGTCACCTCTCAATACCCGAGTTCTCCAAACGTCGGCTACAACCGACGCCATCGACTATAATGGGAGAGCCAATCACTGCAACTCCCCCTCGCCGACCATCCACTGCGGAATTACTTGTCAGGTTCGGGCCCGAACCTGGCAGAGTAAATCCGTACCACCTCCTCGGGAGACCCCAATCTACCCGAATCTCAGATATGTGTAATGCCTTATCCTCGGGATACTCATACCCCGGGGTCCGCTCCGTCGCTAACGGAAACGTTGGCACGGTTCCAAGAACCGTATGTTCCTCGTCACGCAATAGTACCAACTACAATCGGCTATCTACGCAAGTCATCGGGGTACCCATAACCGTCCTATCGATCGGACGTTGGCGCTATTATGTCATCGCCACAATCACAATCATATCCCATATGGGTGACATCCGACCCGGATCGAATGGCCCATGGATAGGACGCAATCTCGCAAACATCGTGCAATCATTCACAAACGTCCGTTTCTACAATCACGCGCTAAACGTTAATCCGAACCCTTTCGAATTAACGCTAACACCATGCCAGTTACCCTAGTCACACGCATTTATATAGTTTATTTACTATACATGCATTTCCACTTGTGTAATCTTTTATATTCATTTATATATTTTCTTTGAGTCTTTCCATTTATTTTACCGGATTATACCTCCGGTATGACCTATCCGGTTCCGGTCTGCCCGGATAACCAGTTCGGTTCATTCCGTGATTTTTAAGCTTACCTGTTATTCATTTGGGGTTCAGACTACGTGGGGTCTGGTCTGACCCGTATTTTCGGTTTATTATTACATTTCTCTCTTCCTCACGAAACTTACATAAACATACCTGACTTTCTACGGGTAAATCACCAAAAATTCTTATTTCAATTTAGAACACGAATCAATTATCAATCAATCAAGAAACACTCAAAACCCAAACCCCATGTCAATAGACTTCCGAATTAAACTCAAATTCACTCACCTCAGGTTATACTTGCGGGTTGCGGGTAGTGGGTAGCGGATTGGGTGATGGGTAGGGAACTTCCTAGAGCTCCTCTGGGTCTGTAGAAGTCAAATTGAGTATTAAAATTTTTGGCTCCGAGCGATCATCCCAAACTCAATTTTTTTTTCGTTTTAACTTTAAATTTGTTCAAATTACGTTTCGGTCTGCACAAATTACCAGTTCGGGTTGTCCCGTAGGTTCGCACTTACTTTTAGATTTGGTTTGGTCTGAGCTGCATCCGGTCTGATCTAGGCCATGTTCGGGTTCATTTTATTTCAATTAGTTTTGGTCCGAACTATTAAGACCGATCCATTCAGACCGATTTATTATTATTATTATTTGATATTTATTATAATCACCATTATTATTATTATTATTATTATTATTATTATTATTATTATTATTATTATATCATCTTTGTCATTATCGTTATTAATATTATTATCATCATTATCATTATCATTATTAGTATTATTATCATTATTATTAATATTACTATTATTTCAACATCATTATTATTATTTATCTATTTTCACATTCTTCTTATCTCAGTTCGGTCCAGACCGAAATCGGTTCGATACGAATATCATGATTTCATAAAAGTATTCAAAACACATCAAAATTCAACATGTTAAAACCTAAAATTCACAAAATTCATTCTATAATATAAATCAAATATCAATTTAATGCAAATATGTTGAAATCACCAAGAATTAATGAAAATTGAATTTTTTAATTGAACTCGATTCATTCACCTAAGAATTTCTGGGTCACTCCAGGTTGTTCGTGAGGTTATTTTCTTTGCCTAATTTAGTTCGTGATAACAACTGAAAGAGATTTGAAGTAAGAAAAATGATAGTTCTATGAAGCAATTTACAAAAATTGAAGAGCATGAGGAAGGAGGAGAACATGGAACATCACTCACCTTATACTGATCTCGTTTTTCATTTCTGGTGAATATGTGAGAGTGAATTGGTGGAAATCTCTATACAAGAAAAATGAAGAAGAAGAAGTTTCAGGAGTTTGAAGAAGAAGAAGTTGCATGAGAAGAGGAAGAACACGCATGGAAAAAGAAAAGAACCAGCGTGAGAATTAAATGAAAAGAGAGTGAAGTGTGGGGTTAGGTGAATAGGTGAGGAAAATAAGGAAACATGTTTCCTCTTTTTTTTAATACACGTGGTGTTACAAAATATATGATTAAATTTTAATACTCTTAACTCTAAATAGTACATTTGTTATCTTTAAAAAAAACATTTAGGGCAAAAAGAAGAAGGCAACAAAAAGACCACACAACAGACAGTGTGTCTCCATTGTCATATCGCCGCCAAAGAATACCAACCCATTTCACAAAGAGATGGAGAGGACAGCAGTGTTTCCTGTTATTAACCAAAATTACATCCTTTATCCTTCACGCATCGTTGCCATGCGCTCCACTCTCTCCTCTACAATCTGCATCGACTCTCCGATCTTTTCATCTGTCGTTTCTCTCTAAAGGCTCTCTCTGAGCCATTCTCGTTTATTCGATTACCATGCAGCGACGGTATTCTCCTTCTTCCTCATCTTCTGATATCATCCATGGCGGAGTCTCGTCTCTTCGATGTGATGTCGTTCTGTCTACCTTCGCCGAAACCTCCCGACTACTCTGTAATAACCCGAATCCGGTTTTGAATATTTAATTAATTTCAGAGAAAAACGCGAGTATATTCTAAGTCCGAGAATTTCGAATCATTACCCATGATATAGGTGTGATAATTGTTGGTTTAGTGCTCTATGATGTACTGTTTATGAGCTTTGTTCAGATACATTTGATGTATTGATACTTTCTATGGTTTTTATGAGAGTATTTGATTCATTACATGTTCTTGCAGACTAGATCTGTTATGAAATCCATGTATTGTTATGAACAATACTAAACTCCCTAGTCATGTATCATTGTGGGAATAATGATATATAAAGACTAGTATGATATGTGATTAATGATATATAAAGACTAGTATCATAGGTATTAGATACAATCACGATCATAGGTATTCGTTGGAGAACGGAATACTGGAATGACCTGCGTGAGATTGTCACATGGACTAGCGTCATGACTTGAATCTCATATGGCGGTTCCATGATTGGATCCTAAGACCTGAGATTTCTACGAAATCCAACATGAGGAGTTGCGTACTTTGATTACGTCAAACGTCCTGCGTAACAGGAGGACTATAAAGGCGTGTATCAGGTACGAAACGAATCATGTGCTGGATTGTAGATAGTCAAGACGGGATTTGTACCTCTCGTAAAAGAGAAAGATATCGCTGGACCCTTCGTGTAAGCGAGACTGTAGAAATGTGTAGCCGCACTATAGACGAGCGTCGTCTATTTCAGACAAGTCGAACTCAGTGAACGAGAAAGCAGTCAAATCAGATAAGGTGGCTTGTCCATGCCTTATATTCGACATATGATATCGTGATACAAAAGGATCATCAAACGGAATCATCACTGGCGTTCGTAGGGTCACGAACAAACTCTATTCGAGATAGATAGTCATAGTGTCTTGCTAGAGCCCGCCTATGACTTGTGTAACCGAAATAAGAGATTTCGTGTTATAATAGAGATTTCGGGTTATACTGCTATATCGAATGAGCCTACAGGGTCACACACGCAGGGATGGACAAAACGCACGAGAAAACGACCGAAAAATCAAGACGGAAGGGTCTAGAACGAACGGACCAGAATTCCGGAACGAACGGTCCGCCAGGTCCAGACCCGACGTTCCACGAATAGTCGCACACCGTCCGTTCTATGTGATGGAACGGACGGTCCGTGTTGATAGCAACCCGTCCGTTCTGGCTTGTCTGGCGACGGTCCACGTGTATTTCTGGACCATCCGTTCTGGGTTTCGGGTTTTTCCATAATTAAACCGAATTAGGGTTAAATCACTTTATAAGAAGGAGATTAAAAACCCGAATCGGATGGAGACTTGGTGAGCCGCCAGGCACAGAACTTGGAGAGCTTTTTGGTGAGATCCAAAGAGTTCTAAGAGTTCCAAGTCTCGTTTTCTCAAAGCACAAAACGAATAGCAGATTCGGGTCCTAGCAGACAAGTTCCAATCGTTGGAATCTATCCCGAGGTGTGGATACGTGTAGAGGGCGAGGTATTCTTCCTCTCTTTTGTGATCAGACGAATTCTTCAATTGATACAGGTCCCGGATCGATTGAGGTAAGCGTTCTAACGTTTCTATGATTCATAGAAGCATGGTTCTAGGGTTTATTAAATTTTGTTTTATATCCGCTGCGCAAACCCTAGAATCGATCTCTTGGTTATAGGATTCGCTCTAGAGATCCCAGGAATCCCATCAGTGGTATCAAAGCCTGGTTGCTCTGTTTTGATTTCGTAGAACCCGATCACGCACGTTTTAGGATTTGAATTGTTTGAATCCATGTTTGCTTAGATTTCTATGCATGTTTGATGATTGAATCTAGTGTAGATTGCATGTTTCATGTTGCATAGAGTGCAGGAGTTCGAATTTTGGGTGTACAGATGAATTTGGATAAGTTTCGGGTCTGATCGGGGCCGAGAATGCCGGAGAACGTGATCTGATCACGGAGACGAACCCTAGACCGTCCGTTCTGGGTAAGCCAGACCGAACGGTCCAGGGGTGGCGAACTGCACAGACCAGAACGGGAGGTCCGCACTAGACCGTCCGTTCCGTCTGCTGCGGACCGTCCGTTCCGGCCTGTCTCGGAATGGAACGACCGTTCTATCAAACCTGGAACGTCCGTTCTGTATATAGAACGGATGGTCCGAGGTATAGTGATACGTGTGTACCGAGTCTAGAATTTATAACCCGATTCACAACTCACCGCAAGGATACGGATCGTCGTAACACGGGGTCGAACACGAGGACCGGTTGCTAAATCCAAATCTAGATCGAAAATAGATCAAAGCAAGTAGAAGTGGAAGTGATGATAAAAATATGGAAAATAAGGAAATAATGCAATAAAAACGAGTAACCTATCAAACAAGAATGACTACGGGCGTCGGGATCGTATTCGCGTGTATGGGTATATGCTAAACATGCATGAATAACGATTATGACTTGTATTCAGGAATCATCAAGCAACAAAGATAGAGAATTCACCTCTCGGTCTACTAACTCCCTACCTACAGAGTAACTCGTCAATCTCTCGATCTATTCAAGTTAACCCTAGATGCATGAAGAACGCTATCATCAACCCTAGATCGATTAAACCATATCTCTATGTGAATAATACGATCTATCCTATTGATTTTGATCCGAAACAAACCCATATCTCTATGTGGTTCAGAATCCAAGATAATTGATCAAGGGGTTAGCAAACATCAATCCAATAAAAATGTAAATCAATAGAACCGAATCAAATCAAAACCGAAATCCAAGTTAGGGTTCAAACATACCCAAAACACATACGAATCCCTAACCCATAGCCGTGGATCTACTCACGGTTTCTGAGAAAAAGAGATAAAAGAGAGGAGATAAAAGCTCATGTAGATGTGTAGTCTCCACGATCGAATCTTCCTTCTTCTTCCCGAAATCCCGTGAACTTCTATTCTTCTCTCACCAAAGGCTCTCCAAAAGTGTGTATCTAAGTCTTCTCTGAGGTTCTCCCCTGTTCTAGGACGTGGCTAGGGCTTTTTTATAACCCTAGGGTGGCTCCCAAGAGTTCTAATCCCATTCCAATGCTGAAAATCGCGAAACAGGGTTTTAGACTGGATCCGGACCGATTCCAGGTGGATCCGGACCGGATCCAGATTCCTGGGGTCGAATTCTGCGTCCTTGATCCGGACCGGATCCAGTTGGATCCGGCCCTGCGCTGACAGTTTTCTGGCCTTCACGATTTCGCTCGTAACTTTCTGCTCCAGTGTCGGATTTACGCGATTTTGGTGTCTACGCGAAGCTCTTGAAGTGCTCTTTCCAATGGTATATATAAGTCTCGCACAATTTGAACCTCTGTAGAGAAAGTTATTGATGTCGCAACATGAGTATCTCATCCGGACTTCTCCTTTAACGCTCCAATTAGTTCCTTTTCGAGTCCAATCATCTCCGAAACCTGTAACTCTGCAAAACTAGAGCACAACCGGGTTTTGTATCCTAACACGCCTAGAATGCCTATGAATGCATGTGATTATCCTATAAAACCTAGACAAACTCTCATCAAAATATAGAGAAGAATAGGAGTTATCATATAGACTCCGAAATTTTTCGTTTTCGAGGTCCGATTACGCAATCGTTGCTTATTCTGATCAACTATAACTCAAATAGACATGATTCATTCTTATAGATGGTCCATAGTGAATGAATGCATGTAACTTAATCAAGTTATAGGATATGCTTGATTGAGTGGAAGCTTCGAGATTGGGATTACATAATCGAATGGATGGTCTATTCAGATTATGTCAATCTTTGCACAGAAACCGGTTAGATCTAGAAGCTCTATGAGTAAAGCACTTGTCAAGGCCTCGATCGTACGTGTCATGGGCCATGCCAAAGATGGGTGTGTCGTGCTATCTTGGCGAGGCAAGATGGAGAAATGGTGGTTCTCATAGCTTGAAAGTAGATGCTTGATCTAGTGTGATTTCGAAAATCCCTTGTTCATGTAATGCTAAGTGTGTGCCTCCCATTACTAGAGCGCCTGTCAAGGCATCGATCATCCGTAACACGGGTCATGCCAAAGCTGAGCGTGCCGAATTATCTTTGTGAGGCAGGGTGGGAAATCGTGGTTCTCACAGCTTGAATATGGTTAATCTTAGGTTAAGTTGTCAAGTTTGACTTGAGACTTAATGATACAGATGAGACGAGTATGCAATGATATTTGATATCATAGTCTCATAAAGGATCTAAGAGTCATATTGGATGTGATTGACATTAGATGTCTACCTAAACAGCATAAGGATAGATGTAACAATTTATTCTTGTGTAAAATACGGATCTTAGTCCCATATAGAAAATTATTGTAGGGTTAGTTTTCTTTATGGGAATATAGC